ATGAGGTCTCATCAAGTTGCCCAGGCTGGTCTCGAACCCACAGGCTCAGGCAATTCACTCACCTCGGCCTCCCAAAGTGCTGGGATTATAGACTGAGCCACTAAGCCCAGCCTTTCTTAAAAAATTTATTTATTTATTATAGAGATGAAGTCTCACCAAATTACCCAGGCTGGTCTCCAACCTGTGGGCTCAGACAATCCTCTCACCTCAGACTCCTATAGTGCTGGGATTATAGGCATGAGACACCACGCCCAGCTTTATTATTATTATTTTTTAACCAACAGATATTAAAGGGTACCAAGACTGAGTATTTCAAACAAGGTGTCATCTTGACCCAAAAGCCTTGGGCTGATGTCAAACTTTCTGACCCAAGTCAGCCTCAAATTTTCTACCATGGCCGCTATATCTGGTCAACACTAGAACCCATTCTCACTTCACCATCCTGAATCCCAGGGTGCCAGACCCACCTGCCTCACTTCGGGCCTGGATAACTACACTGGCCAGTCTCATCCCACTCCAGTCAGCCCTCTGTGCTTTGAAACAATTTTCAAGCTTTTTAAAGTGTGATCCATAGTAAGAAATTCAACTCACATGGCAACCCGGTAGATGCACACATTTCTTACGTAAAACTGAAGGTTCTCGACACAACATTTATCTCTACTATGTGCAATCAGATAACATATTTCACTTCTCCCCTTCCCCCTTATATAACCCACTGTCTGCTGCCCATTAAATGGATCTTGCAACCCACTGACAGGTTGTGGCCTGCAGTGTGAAAACTGCTCCTTCAGCCCCTCAGGGGTCCAGCTGAGGCACAAAAGTCATCTGGAAGCTATGCAGGTCAGCCTGCAGGAGGCCCCCAGGACTTACAGAATCTCCAAGGCCTGCAGCGGGCCTTCCTGGGGCTGTGGGGCCCGCACTTGGGCTCTCCTCCACCTCAGCCCTGAGCCTCAACAAGTCCTTTATGAGTGACTGCAATTCCCTACGTCAAGTCTTGACCAACCTCCTCCCACTGCTGTAGACAGTCTTTTCCCCTTCATCCTTCAAAACCAGTTCCAAGGTCACCTCCTCCAGGAAGCCTTCCCAGGCCCCTCCCTATGCCGCTCTGTCCACCTGTACCTCACACCCTGTTCATTCCTCTTCTGAAACCTCTCAAGGTCATTTTCCATGTGCGGGTCTGACCCTTTGTGCATGGTGACTTCCTGAGGGTAGGGCTAGAATAGCACATGTCCCTGAAGTTCAGCCTGTCACAGCTCCTGTGTGTGCTCAGAAAAGGTCTGAGGACTGCCCTGCTTACTTGCTTGGGCGGGGGGGTCCCCTGGATCGCACTACACAAGGGAAAGCAGAGGCTGCCAGGCCAGCACATTCAGAAAAGGAAAGATCACAGCGGGTGCACAGCCAACACTGGCAGCCAGAAGAGTCACACAAGCCCCTCTTTCAATTTTCAAGCACAAAACAGATTCCTGGGGGCTTTGAGGCCTGGAGCTGTAAAAGGTCAAGTTTGCAGATCAAGCCCCTTGCTATGTGGGACGCTCTGGCTTCAGACAAGCAGGCCAAAAATGTGCAAACTATCAACATGATAAACACGGACCCTTGTTTTTAGGGCTGAGAATGGAGACAAGACCCCTGATAGGGCCAAGGTCACAAGAACCTTCCCTAGCCTGCCCAGGGCTCTGAAGACCCAAGAGTAATGGGCAGGACGGGGGACCTCAGCCCCCTTCGAAACAACTCAACTCCAGGTGCTGCTACTGAGGGCTGTGGGGCCCAAGGAAGCAGGCTTGCCTCTGCTATAAAATGAAGACTTCCGCTCGGCTTGGCGTCTCCCAGCCTCGGGTTGTCTGCATGCCACATGCACCACCAGCTAGCTGCAGGTCAACAGTATTATTACTGATGTATTACTTTTCTTTATATCTTCTTTCTTTTTTCCTTGAGTAGATATCTCATCTTAAGCAAAAATACTTGAAACCATGGTTTTGGTGTGCTGGGTTTTTTTTTTTCTTGGTCAATGAATATTAAATACAGCCAGGTGCAGTGGCTCATACCTATAATCCCAGCACTTTGGGAGGTGGAGGTGAAAGGATTGCCTGAGCCCACGGGTTTGAGAACAGCCTGGGCAACTTGGCGAAACCTCATCTCTACAATAAATTTTTAAAAAATTAGCCAGGTGTGGCGACCTGTAGTTCTGGCTACTTAGAAGGCAGAAGCAGAAGAACTGCCTGAGTCCAGCAGGTTGAGGCTGAGGTGGCCATGAGTGTGCCGCTGCACTCCAGCTTGGGCGACAGAGTGAGACTCCAATTCAAAAGAAAAAAAAAGTATTAAGTGCATATATATATATATT